ACATGAAAAGGAATGAATTATCCTTAAAGACACTATAAAAAAAATTGGATCTCAGTCTGGTAGTGAGAGACAAAACATGGAAACATAAGAATACAAGCAAATACCTTCAAATAGAAAAAAGAATAGTTCAGCTTCCAGCTTGCTTTACTTGCTTGAAATATATTAAGTTGAAAAAGTTGAAAATCCAAGGAACATGTTTATCTTGTAAGGAGGCTTCTTTTAAGATGGGAAATTACAGACAACCTAAGCATAACTTTGCAGCTGCAAGCTCAAGCGTAACATAATTGCCCATTTGGCCAATTGATTTAAAGTCATTTCAAGCGTAATAAAACATTCACAAAGAACAGCAGTTAACAGTCTCAAGTGCATCATGATTGCTCATTTGGCCAATTGATTTGAATGAACGTGCAGCAACCTACATTTGCTAACACGATCAACACCTTTAATTTTCTCACAGAGAAAATGAGCGCATAGGAGCGTATATATGTAATCTCATATCGTGAACAAGCTCTTATTTGCACAAGGCAATCAAATCCAGTACCTTTTAGACCCAGAAAATTACAGTTACCTAAAGCAGATCAGCCCAAAAAAAAGTTATTTAAAAAAAAACTACCCAAATTTGGAAATGTGATACCTCGTACGCCTTGAGTGACTGATCAGCAGCTTCTTTTCTCTCATTTCCAGTCTTGAACTCCGCCAGATACCGATAATAATCACCTTTCCTGCAACAAACCCCCAACATCAATCAAATCCAACCCAAAAACAACCTCAGATCTAAAGATCTAACGCACATCTTGTAATAAAAGACTGAAGACTCCCCAGCTGTCGACGACGGGATCAGATGCTCATCAATTACGGTCATAATATCATGACAAATGTTCGAGAGCTCCGACTCCACCTTATGCCTATACTCCTTGATCTTCTTAACGTGGTTCTCGTTCCCCTTCGCCTCCTCCTTCTGCTCGATCGATGACACGATCCTCCACGAGACGTTCTTGTAGCCGACGGAGAGCAGGTTCCGCTCCTCTACGGTGAGCTCCACGTCGAGCTTCGCTACGTTCTTCATAGCTTCAACCATCTCTGCGGAAATCTGACGGATCAGACCAAAACCCTAACCCTAGACCTGAATCAAGAGATCTTACCGTCGTAGCGCTCGGCTTGCTCCGCGAGCTTGGCGATGTAGACGTATCCCTCTCTCGACGCCATCGGAGATCAGATCTGAGCGGATCTGGCTCGATTAGGGTTTGAGATTCGAGTGCTTCAGAGGCAGAAAGAGGAGAAAAGAAAAAGGGTGTTGGGGTTGGGGGGAGATGGATTTTAAGTGGAGGATGGACGGCCGCCAGAATTTATAGGATATCAGATTAACGGTAGGATTTGTGAGGGTGGTGATCATTGACCGTTGGATGATGGGCTGGTCGGGGATTTTTGTAGGATGGTGGTTGGTTCTATGTGGCAACTGTGGTTGGGATAAATTTGGCCTTGAATTTACAATTGAACAGGAGAAATAATTTCTTGTATTACCCTAACTAGTATGGACCCCGTGCGGCCGTTTATTTTTTTATCATTGTATTTTAAATTTGCGTCTTTTTAAGTTTTAATATATTTGATTTGATTATTATATTCTTAAAATTTAAAATTTATGTTACCAAAATTTTTGTGATCTGACGCTTATACATTCGTCTACATTGATGATTATTCAGATTAATTTGAGGCTTGCGTTGAGGAATAATTCAAAGCAGTATATGATGGTTAGGGGTGGAAACAAACCAAATATAATAAACAATTCGCTTAATCTCCGTCCAGATATTCGGTCATATTCGATCCGACTGTTCATTTAATACTAAATGATTATTTTCAATATTCAACTTACAAACAAATAGAATTTAACTAAAGTTATATTCGATCAGAGTGATTATTAACTATTCGATAACCTTTTTATGTTAATCCTATAAATTAAACTTGTTGCAAATATTACCCATCAAAATTATTTTTACCACTTCTTCCCGATATATAAATAGTCTTATGACGGTTATTATTCGTCTAGATATTCGATCAAGTTCGGTTCGGTAGTTCATTTAGTACTAAACAAATAATTTTTAGTATTCCGCTTATAAATGAATAGAATTTAACAAAATGTATGTTTGTTTCGGAAGTCCATTAACTATTCGATTAGTTTTTGCATTTTAGTCCTATTAATTTAATTTATTGTAAATATTACTTCTCTAAAATTTTATTTACAAAGGCTATCCATATAAATAGCTAAGAGAGAGGATTCTAGAGCTAGGGTTTCACTTTTCTTCTTCGTTCTATCAGCCTCCTCCAGCCAGATCTGATCGCCTGCTCTCTCCTCTCTTTCTCTCTCTCCCCTCACCTCGTCCTCCAGATCTGATCGGTTCGTCTCTCCTCTCCCTCTCCCCCCCACTTTCAGATCTAACTCCAAGTAGATGAGCTCCTCTCTCTTCTTTCTCTCTCCTTCAGATCCGTGACTCCAAGTGGATTCTAGAGCTCGGGTATTCATTGTTCTCCCTCGAAGCTGGTTGCTCACTCCTCCCTCAAAGCTCATCCTTCGAATCTTGTTGCGTCGTAGCTCGTCGTCCCGCGAATTTCGTCGTCGATTTCTCCCTTGAATTTCATCGTCGACTTCTCTCGAATCTCGTCATCTATTCCTCCCTGGAATTTCGTCGACTCCTCCCTCGAATTTTGTTTTATTTTTTGTTGCCTTTGCGAAAATCCCTGCCTTTCTTAGGGGAAATCGACGGGTTTTTGCTTGATTTGTTAGATTTCGGAAATTATAGGTATAATTTCTGCATGATGTTCCCTTTCGTTGATTAGTTGATGAATAATTACAGGTATAATTACAGGTTTTTGCTTTATTGATTCTTGTTGCTAATTACAGGTATAATTACAGGTTTTTGCTTTATTGATGAATAATTACAGGTATAATTTCTGCATGATGTTCCCTTTCGTTAGATTTTGGGTTTTTGCTTTATTGATTCTTGCTGCTAATTTTTATTGTTGGTTTTTTGTGCTTACATTGTGGTATTGGTTGTTGGCTTATTGTGGTATATAATGGTCAGTTTGAATTTAATGACAGATGGCTTTCTTTGGTACTCAATTCTGGTATGTGTTCTTTTGATATATGTTTTTTAGATGGGCAGTGATGATGATAACAAACTGAGAATGCATACTATTTTAATTAATTATGTAATGTTTAGGCGAGGCAATTCTGTGTGGATTGCAACCTATATTGATATTACAATGTTTGGGTGATGTAATCCCTCATAATAGCAGCCTACATTGCATCATAGTTTTATAGGAGAGGTAATCTTTTATGACCAATCTATTTTTATCCTGAGCCCTAGTAAGTCCTCATAGATTTTGGTGATGAATTCGAGCTTGTTTAGTTCTAATTTTAGTAGGAATTGGTGCTATTTTGTAGCTTATGAGTTTAATCATACATAGTTGAAAGAATTGGTTTTATCATGTAGCTTTTATAATTGACAGAACTTGTTTTATCATGTAGTCAGCAACAATAACTTTATAATTTTCATAAATTGATAGATTTGTATTACCTGTGAAGTTCGTAGAGCTTTGAAATATACAACATCATAAATTGTTTCTTCCGAAGCCTTCATAAGTTGTTCTCACTGTGAGTATTCCTACATGTATGATGAAAAATTTATTATCAGTACTATAGATAGTTCATAATTTATTAATTCAAATGTTATGTTTCACAAAAGTTATGTTTTAAGCACTCTATTTTCTCATGATTAATTCAAATGTTATGTTTCACAAAAGTTATGTTTTAAGCACTCTATTTTCTCATGAAGTTTATGAGTTTAATGTTATAAGTTGATGTTTTCCCTCACTCTATTTTCTCATGAAGTTTATGAGTTTAATGTTATAAGTTGATGTTTTCCCTCTTAAAATCCTATTGTCTGTGGATGCAATAATTTGTTGAAATCTGTAAATAATATTGGGATATATATATTGCCTATAAGTTGCTCATTTAAATTGCTTGTTTAAGATGAGTGTTGTTAGTCCAATTTGAAGTTTTAACTAACTCTCTTTTGTGGCTTTTTCTTCATACTAAAGGCAAGGAACTGCTTGTGTAAATTTGAGGCAGTATAGATCTTTCTTCTTAACTGCTGCAAATAGCTATACTTTCTTCTTAACTGCTGCAAAAATAGCTATAAGAGGTGCGAGCTTTGCAAGAAAATTATCGCAAGGAAAGAATTGCATGCATAAGTTAAAATGAAAGCTTGATCAGGTTGAATATATTTTGAGTATAAAATCACCTTTAAGTGATCAACGCTGGTAAGTTTTTAATTAGTGTATTTTAATTACTTTGTGTTGTTTCATTGTCATAATCGTGGGACATAGTTAATTTTAATTACTTTGTATATACCGCTGTCAAGAAACCAATACATATGCATTTTAGTATACAATGATGAATTCAAATGATAAAAAAACTTATTCTATTATCATTAAGTTTATTTGTTCTAGTGCATCCACCATTTAGCGTGACCGGGTAGCATGAATAGTTTGGATGTACATTCTTAATTTTTTTGATGTTTTGAGGAAAGGAAAATATCAGTTATAACTACAAAATAAAAGGCTTTATTGATTCTTGTTGCTAATTTTTATTGTTGGCTTTTTGTGCTTACATTGAGGTATTGGTTGTTGGCTTATTGTGGTATATAATGGCCAGTTTGAACTTAATGACAATTGACAGATGGCTTTCTTTGGTACTCAATTCTGGTATGTGTTCTTTTGGTATATGTTTTTTTAGATGGGCAGTGATGATGATAACAAACTGAGAATGCATCCTATTTTAATTAATTATGTAATGTTTAGGCGAGGCAATTCTATGTTGATTGCAACCTACATTGAGATTACAATGTTTGGGTGATGTAATCCCTCATAATAGCAGCCTACATTGCATCATCATAGTTTTATGAGAGAGGTAATCTTTTATGACCAATCTATTTTTATCCTGAGCCCTAGTAAGTCCTCATAGATTTTGTTGATGAATTCGAGCTTGTTTAGTTCTAATTTTAGTAGGAATTGGTGCTATTTTGTAGCTTATGAGTTTAATCATACATAGTTGAAAGAATTGGTTTTATCATGTAGCTTTTATAATTGACAGAACTTGTTTTATCATGTAGTCAGATAACTTGTTGTTTTTCCTCGCTTAGAATCCTATTGAGTGTGTGCACTAAGTTGGTGAAATCTGTAAATTAAATTGGGCATATATATTAATAGCCTATAAGTTGCTCAATGAAATCATACCTGCTTAAGATGAGCATTGTTAGTTCAAATTTGAAGTCTTAACTCTCTTTTGTGTGTTTTTTTCATACTAAAGGCAGGGAACTGCTTGAGTAAATACATCTGGATAAATACATCTCACTATACACAATATTGTAAAAATATATATGGATAAGTAACAAAACCTCTCAGGCCACTTTGAATAAGCAGGACCAAGACAAATCTATGCATCAGATGCCACCCTAAGTGATGAGACCCTTGTGGCTTTTTTTAACACGAAATTTGTATGCGTTTCTTTCATAAGACTTTCCTTTATTATAGTTTTCCTTGCTTATTAAAGTTTTCATTTTGTATGACCTTTTATATATCCCAATATACTTTTATATCTAAAGGGTATTACTTCTTTAATGATTAATGAAGGGCAAGAGATTTCTTTTTGTAGTGCTGTAAATATTAGTCAAAACCGCAGTTTGATTTTCAAATATAACATCTGATTCAAATTTGAAATTATGACTGAAACCATATCCTGGCCGGATTTAGATTTAGATTATTAAATTAAAATTGAATTTGGGTCGAATGAACATTTAGATCCGAGTACTCGCTTAAATTTAATAAAGAATAGATGAACACTTAAATGGAAATGGTCTGATCCGGAACCAGAATCAGAATTTGACCTGATTTCTTATTGAGGTTAGGATCGGATTCGGCTAAGATATTCGTTTTACACGGATTCATATTCAAGTCTTGCATAGATCTGAACTGAATCTGATCCCTTTACAGCCCCATCTGCCATTGAAATGTTTCCTTTTGTATCAACAATGCTGGTACATCATCATGATCACAATTTTGGATTGTGGATAAGAACATTCAATATTCACTTTGCTTGCTATCATAATTAGTAATATTTTCTTCTATTAGACTAATTAAATCATACCAGAATCGCTTGGCGTTTTGTTACTTATCCATATACATTGTGTGTGACCTGTTATATATTTTTTGTGCATCTTTATCTTCCAAAAAATTTAAACATGTGTCTAGGAGCTTATATGCTTTTATTACAGTGATATTCTGGTGGATTTATTTCATTAAAATGTGATTACATCTATATCTGAATGATAGGAGATGTAAATATGATAAATTAAATTGGGCTTGCTATACACTTTCCAAAATGATTAATAAAATTGGTTCATGATCAGGTACCTGACTTGCCTTTTTTTTAGTTGAAGAATTTATTTCATAAACCAAAAAGTGAAGATATATACGTGCCTTTGCTCACAATCATAGTGTGTGTCTGCTTCATTGTTTTACTTCAGACATTGTAATTGATATTAACTACTTTTTTCTCATATTATAAAAATTATTACTTACAAATGGTGTAAGCTTTACCTCTGGTACTTAAAAGTAAATTTAAGCATGTAACCAAGAGGAAAGTACACTTTGTTTGAGAAGCTAATTAAACTATTGGATGATCACATTAAAAAGTGATTACATCTATATATGAATGCTCAGATATGTAAATATGATAAATTAAATCATACCTGCTATACACTTTCCAAAATGATTATTCTTTTGAAGATCCTCCATCAATGAATCTAGTTTGATCTTGAACACTCTTGCGACGATATCTGGTCTTTCATCAAGTCTCTGTCCGCCATTATTTCTGAGAAATTCAAGAATTTCATTCCACTTTGGATTTGATATTACCGTGATGAAAAGATCAGGGTTTCCCATAACACGGCAAAGAGCTATTGCATCTTGGTAATTTTGGGTCATATAACGTGGTCCGCCAGTGAAAGAGGAAGGTAGAACAATTCTCTTACCTACTTGTGCACCTTCAGTATCTCCTCTATGTAGTGCATCCTTGATACCACAGTATAACTCCGCACGGATCTTTGACTGATTAACTTTAACCCAATGAAGTCTTTCCTCCTCAATGCACGTCATGAGATCCACAATGTAAGTTTGTAATAGTTTCCCCGATAAGAGTAATGTATGTGCCTCAGTCTGACGCTGCTGCAAACGAAATGAAGCGTACTCCATGTATGTAACTTCTTTTCTTTTTTTTTCTGAGCATTGTTGGTGTTTTGATTAAGTTCCACGCCAAGTCTAAAACCATCCTCTCCATATCTTTTTTTTCTGAGCATTGTTGGTGTTTTGATTAAGTTCCACGCCAAGTCTAAAACCATCCTCTCCATATGGAAAAAGTAGGGGATATTGCATTGCCATAAAACTTGGATGGAGATCACTTATCCTTGTTAATCCTAATTTACGATCATCAACGACAATGTCTCGAATGCCAATCGTATCTTTGATGTTTCCGACAATTAGGCCAGCAATCTCCCCTGCGGTTGGCATGTTTTGATGTCGGCCATCACCGCTTCGGGCTGCCTTTATGATCAATTTGATAGGAATTAAACTATCTTTCTTTACTCTATCCCTCACCATTCGAAAGCATTTAACCAATTCATTACATGAATCTAACATATTTAACGCGTTCATACGATTTTCTAATTCATTATCTGTATCATAAATGTAGAGCTGACAGAATTTTGGGATATTTCCAGGGACTGGTCTCAAAGAACCTATTCTGTGATGGTTTTGTCCATTTAGACAGAAACAATAAGGCCCACCTCCATTATTGTATGTATTGTCAATTGTCCCGCCTGAGGAAGTAAATGCAAAGATTGAGTTATAACTTCTGATATTTTCTTTAAATTTATTGCTTCTGCTATCCTGACCGGTTAACAGATTCCAGAGAAAGGTGGGAGGATGCGTGAGGAGAGGAAATTTGACAGAGCCTTTTCGACAGCATAATGAGAAAGCTGGATTTTCAGGTCTCTTTGATTTCTCAGCTCTTTCTTCATACCAAAGCATCGCATCACAATGTTCGCAAATAAAAGTTGGTGATCCCACATTGTGTATATCATTGTACAGACCTAGAAGTACACAACAAATAGCAATGTTATACAACAAATGACAATATCAATGTCAACAACATATGAGGCAAGGAAACAGGTACAATTATTTGACATGAAAATAATGTAAGGAAGTTATACCTTTCTCATTTATTTGTTTGCCTTTTCTCCTTCCTTTGTTGCTAAGAATAACCGAATTAGATTGGTTATTGTTTGTAACAGGTTGTACATTATCTTCCATTTGCACGTGAGAATCGTCGAATGATGAATCATATGATATTTGTTCCATCCTTGTACGCTTGATAATAACCGGGGATGTATCCTCAAAGGAAGTAGTGCTACAGGTGCCATTATCTCTATGAATAACTTTCCTCTTAACTCGTCTCTCTTTGTTATTATAGGATCGAAGAGCTGAAAACAGATGATGGGTAGTTAGTGTTAAGGAATAGAAGTTTGTCAAAGTCGTAGTGCGTCAACAAAGAGGGAGTACTTTCTCACTTTGATTGGTGAAGTCAATGATCTGTGATTCCAACGAATTCAACTCTGTAGGTAATAATTTCAATAATTTAAGGTTATTGCAGTAGATTTCTATTAACTATTAAATTGGGCATATGTTTATATAAAGACTGTTACCTGTTATTCTGTCAATGAGCTTCGGAGATGAAGGTGATGTGAAAGAACTAACATCCATTGAGCTGCTACTTATATTCTCCATATATGCTCTGAAAGAGATTTCTCCGAAAGTACGAATTGAAATATTCTCCGAAAGAGATTTTCTGGTAAATGGTAGCATACATTCCATATATGCTCAGAAAGATGTGTGGTAAGTTACCTTGTTCACTTGCATATATATACTTATATTCTCCATTTATGCTCCAAAAGATGTGCAGTATACATTCCACATATGCTCAAAAAGTTGTGTTAAATTGGTGGATAGATACCACAAATAGAAATAATAAGATATAGAAAACTGAAAATATTTTCAGTTTATAACTAACTTACTTTGAATCATGATACTCTATAAATTGTGTACATGTTATATCAGAGTCAAATTAATATTCAATAAGTTAATATGCTAGAAATATATATACATGAATTAAGGAACAAAGATCTCCAATAATGTAAAGACAAATATACTGAAAGGAGCATAGTATACTTACAGTATGACTTCAGAGTTGATTCCAGAAGCGTTTTCCACTTCTATAATTGAAACAAAAAAAAAGCATAATTTAGGTCCGGTACTTGAAATAAAATTTAAACATGCAACTAAGAGGAAAATATACATTGCTTGAGAAGCTAGTTAAACTAATGTATGATCTTTATTTGGGTAAATGGTAAGAAATATGAAATAAATATGATGAATTAATGTTGTGATGAAGTGGGTCATCATAAATGCTTTAAAAAGTGAGTTTGATATGAAAAATGTGATGTATATAGGCAGAAATGAGTCATAAATCATAAATGTGGGAAATACTGACTTAATCAAAAAATAATCAAATAATAGTGACCTAAGATCACATAAAACTTGCTATTTGAAGAACATGTTGAAGAAAATTGAGAAAGGGTAAAAAAACTCACCCAAAGCAAGAGGTTATTTTGAGATTGTTGGAATAAGAAAAGATTTTAGAGAGAGAGAGAGAGAGAGAGTTTTTTTTCAGATTGCCGCTTTTTTCACAGCTTGTTTGAAGAGAGTTTGCATTCAAAATTTTGGTGGTTTTTTCAAAATTTTTGTAAGCTGGAGAATTTTCCCAGATTGCCGCTCAAGTTTGATGCACACACAAAGGAATATGTGGGACCCTCAAAAACCTGTAGCAACTCCAGGTTTTGAAGAGGTATTTATCAACTTTGATTAACTTTTTTTCACATATTGCCGCTCCCTCCTCTTTTTTTTGGTTTATCCATGTTAATGTATATGAGGTGTGAGCAGGGTAATTTTGTAAGCAGAATATGTGGGGCCCACAAAATGACGTGGCAACTCAAGTTGTAAGCAGAATATGTGGGGCCCACAAAATGACGTGGCAACTCAAGTTTGATTGAATATGTGGGGCCCATAAAAAATATATGGGTGAACATGAGCTTGGTTTGATTAATTTTGTAAGCTGGAGAATATTGAGAGATTGCTGCCAAGTTGGATTGATTTTGCAAGTTGTAAAATTTGGGTGATGTTGCGTGAACATGAGCTTGGTGTCATGCAAAGCAGGGGCTTGCTTTCATTAATTTTGTAAGTTGGAGAATTTTGTCAACTGGGAAATTTTGAAAAAATATATGGGTGAACATGAGCTTGGTTTGATTAATTTTGTAAGCTGGAGAATATTGAGAGATTACTGCTCAAGTTTGATTGATTTTGAAGTTGTAAAATTTGGGTGATGTTGCTTGAACATGAGCTTGGTGTCATTAATTCATGGGCTTGCTTTCATTAATTTTGTAAGTTGAAGAATTTTGTCAACTGGGGAATTTTGAAAAAAATATATGGGTGAACATGAGCTTGGTTTGATTAATTTTGTAAGCTGGAGAATATTGAGAGATTGCTGCTCAAGTTTGATTAATTTTACAAGTTGTAAAATTTGGGTGATGTTGCGTGAACATGAGCTTGGTGTCATTAATTCATGAGCTTGCTTTCATTAATTTTGTAAGTTGGAGAATTTTTTCAACTGGGGATAGGCTGTTAGCTACAGTGCAATAGCTGGGGATTGGTAGTTAGTCACAGTTTTATCACTACAGTAAATTCACTGTATTATTTACTGTAGCATGAATAGTGGTTCTTTTATTCTCCCTTTTGTATAAAGGAATAGATAACAACCTATATTATTATTATTATTATTATTATTATTATTATTATTATTATTATTATTATTATTATTATTATATTACTCAATCCAATCTAATCTATACGCGCACACACTGTTTTAAAAGTGTAGAGCATGTTAAACTTTTTTCCCAGACTTGCCCTCAACAATAACTCTTTGGCTTCAATTATTTCATCATACGTTCAATGGCATAGGAGTAATAACCAGAAATTATTTGGACGAGTTAATTATAATTATTTTACTCTGGGTTAGTGCAAATGGTTTGTTAACCCTTTAACCTTTCACATAGTTGTATGAGGTACTGAATTACTCATTAAACTTCAATCAAACCCTCCCCTATGCATTTACTCCCCACTAACTATTCATTATTTTCTATAAAGTCTTCAGTTTCTGTGACGAACACTGCATTTTCTCTCATAAGTGTGTTACAGTGATAATAAAAAAATTTAGATGCCTCCAGTTAATTAATTATGAAGTCTTTCAACTTTCAACTTCCATATATTTCACTACAATTCCTATAAAATCCCAACCCCGCCCCCTCTTCTCCTCACACAACGAAATTGACTAACAATCCATATTTCTTATCATTGTCTCATGTGTGCGTGTGTGTGTCTGTGTGTCATTTTAGTTGTATAAAAAGAGATGGTTGAGCATGGTAAGGGGGGAAAAAGTTTTGGTTGTTATGTATAGTATCCTTTTCATTTGTGGTTAATTTGGTGAAGGTCAATGGATATCAATGCAGTTATGGTTCTGTACTAATTCAATTCTTTTCTTTTCTTTTTCCCTTTTTCTTTACAGACAGACTACTTCACTTCGATTGATTCTTGATTGTGAATATAGGTTAAGTCTAGCTTAGCAACAATATTGCAGGAGGGGAAAAAAAAATAACTTGCTTGGTTTTGTTAATTTGCTTCTTTTTTTTGTCATGTGCTTAATGACTGATACGTTAGAGTTGACAATGCTAATATGAGATTTCGAAGGTAAATTTTGATGTAAGATTTAGTAAAATAAATAAGTTTAGAGGAGTTACGTGCAATAACTTCTAAAGTTAATGGGGTTAGGGGAATAAATAAAAGTTGTGGGGTTTACTGCCGCTCCCAACAATTTCAGGAGGGCTTCTGCAATTAATGCTTGCTTTTGATAATTGAGGAATAAAATTATACATACACAAAAAGGTTCTTCTAAAAGCAAAAGACTAATCTCAACACATTGGCTTAACTACATGTGCATCGTTAGGCAAGAAGTTGTTCTCTGTAGGCCTGTCCATTTAGCCCACCGGCCCGGGCCAGACGGTTCTGTCAGCGGTACGTGCCGCCTTCTCGGCGCCCGAGCGCCGGTACCCGCCAACTGCAACGGTCACCTAAGGTGACCGTTGCGGGTAAAAGCCGGCCGACCCGACCAGGCATTAACGGTCACATTTGTGATCGTTTTGGCCGAGCTGACCCGGCCCAGCCCGGTCATAACAGCTATTTTAGCCGTTTTGCCTAAAAAACGGTCAAAATGAGGGTATTTAGTCATTTGACTAGAGGGCTACCTCTATAAATAGAGATGGGGTTTCATTTATTTTTCTCACACCAAAACTCATCTACTTCTCTCTAATACTCTCTTATACACTCTTATACTCTCTTATACTCTCTAATAATCGTTTTAGCTCTCTAATTCTTCAATCAAATGGCTTTCGGATCTGATTATGAAGAGCAAAACCTATCTCCCGATCTTAAAATGAGCCCTCCTACTACAGCTACTCCTACCAATCCTAGCAATGTTAATCCCGGATCTGGTGGCGACAATTCTACACCAAGAGCTCCTAAAAGGCCGAGATCCGATGTGTGGAATTTTTTTTAGAAGATAGACGTCATCAAGGATGAACATGGTAGGATACTCACCTAGAAGGCTAAGTGTGCATTGTACGGGAAGATTTTCCAAGCTCATCATAAGAGCGGCACCAACCACCTCAAACGCCATTTAGATAAACACAACAAAGGCTAGACGCTTCAAGGTGATATCCGACAATCTATGATCTCTCAATCCTCATCTTCTGGTAGTCTCGGTAGTTGGAATTATGACGCAACCCGTGCTACGAAATGTGTCATCAGGTTTATCATTCTTAAAAATCTTTATTTTAAATTAGTAGAAGATGATGAATTTGAAGATTTATTTAGAGATGGTTTTTACCCCGTATTTAAAAAATTTTCTCGTCAAATTTATCAACATGATATTTTAAAATATTTAGGATGAACAAGTAAAAATAATTTCTTATTTTTAAAGTTTA